CACATACCACACACACACACACACACACACACACACACACACACACACACACACACACACACACACACACACACACACACACACACACACACACACACACACACACACACACACACACACACACACACACACACACAAATAGCAAAATGATGAACCGCGAAAAAGAAAAAGAAGCAGAAAAAACAGAAATGAGCAGCAGAGAAAGGGAGAAACGAGAGGTAGAGACCGAAAACAACAGTAAAAAAATAAGAGTAAAAGAAAACGAGAGTAGCCAAAAGAAAATGGAAATAAAAGAAGGGGGAATACGTAAAAAAAGAAACATGGGAGAGGATGAGAAACGAAGAAAGGAAGGGAAAGGAGAAACGAAGAAAGGAAGGGAAAGGAGAAACGAAGAAAAAGGAGAAACGAAGAAAGGAGGAAAGGAGAAACAGAAAGTAAAGGAAAGGAAACGAAGAAAGAAAAGGAGAAAGGAAAGAAGTAAAGGAAACGGAAAAAGGGAAAAAGAAACGGAAAAGAAGGAAAGGAGAAACGAAGAAGGAGGAAGAGAAAGGTAAAGAAGAAAGGAAGGGAAAGGAGAAAGGGTAAATGAAAGGAAAGGAGAAACGAAGAAAAGAAGGGAAGAGAAAGGGTAAAGGAAGGGAAAGGAGAAAGATAAAGGAAAGGAAGAGGAACAACGAAGAAAGGAAGAGGGAAAACCCGACACGACAAAGGCCTGCTCATTGCTCACTTCCATTGCATGCGGACAACAGTGCCAGACACGCAAGCCAACATCTACCAGATAATCAAGTATACATTATAAACCATAAATCTTTTACACAAGCTTACTTTTTTATTTTTCTATTTTGACTCATAGCCAACATAAGTAATTGCCTTATAAAAATACAGAGGCCAATTAGGAAAATTACTCCATAATTACACACTCATGCCTTTGTGCCAAGAAAAATAAACAAAAAGGCACTGAATTCTACCATAACGATATCACGAAGTACAGCAAACATTTCGAAATATAATGAATAAAAAAAATAGTCTTTCCTCTCACGCCAATGAAGTTTGTTTTCATGTATGTAATATTTGTAAAGTATGTATGTGCATGTGCGTGTGTATGTACATAATATATGTATATAGTGCATGTGTATATGCGCCTATGTCTGTATATGGAAATGCATGTTCGTATGTCTGTAGTTTATATGTCTGCAAGCACGTGTATGTGGATATGTATGCGCGTATGTGTATGTGGATGTGTATGTGCGTATGAGTTTGTGTGCACCGGTGTTGGCGTGCATGTCCGTGCTTGCGTGCGTGTTTGCGCGCGTCGGGCCGCAATCCCCGGCGTGCGAGCTAAAGAAAGGAACAGTGCATTCGTCTTTCTCCGTGACAACCAAGGTAGTCTTTGAGGAGCTATAAATATATAAAAAGTGGGAGTCCTGAACGCCGTGGTGATTGCGGAAAGCACGAAGGAGGCCACGGAATCCGCCAACACATCTCGGGTTCATTTTTCACTTTGAAAAAAAAAAAAAAAAAAAAAAAAAAAAAAAAAAGCCTTGAAAAAATGGAGTTCGTTCCCTTTTCTCTGTCTCTACTTTGTTTTTTTATACATCGTCACGCACACAAACTCTCTAGTAATACGCGCAAATCAGCACAAAATCATCCACACAAATCAATAATTGTACAATATATAATTAAACTCCATAATCATCATCACGTGAAACGAATCACTAAACGCGCAAATAACTACCAAAATAACAGAAAACTCGGCAAAAACAACAACGAAAACCTCGCGAGTCACCGCTGATTCCCATGCACACTCAGCTTACTCCCAGACAGCCGAATCACTTCCAGAATCGGCGCGTGTTATTGTCTCCACTTTATTCCTCCCTTCGACTCTATGGCTTCTGTGCAAAATCTCCAGGTAGCGCTTCCTCTGCTGTCAGATTAGCCGAGAGTTGTGCATGACATCCTGACATCCTAGGGCTTCCTCACCCCCCCCATTGTACCTGAAAGCCTTCCGTGCATGACAGTATCTGCCAGTGAAGGAGCGTCTTCGTGCCAGTAGCGCATCGAATCCAATAAGGTTTTTAATCACACTATTATTATATTTTGTGGCCGTGATGGAAGGTCTTCCCGGATTATACCATTAATAATAATAACAATTACAATAACAATAACAATAATATTAATAATAATAACGATAAAAATAATATATAAAAAATGCCTGTAATATACACAACAATCGATCCTGACTGTGATGGCGGCGAAGGTAACAAGAGCAATATAATCACTAATAACTCTAACCGGTATTAGCAGGATAGATAACCGATAAGAATCCTTAATCCACGTGAAGACAACGACGGCGGTGATGATGATGATGGCACAATAAAAAAGCACAGGAACAACATAATGATCCGTATCCTTAAGAGCAACACTACTACGGCATAACCGCTACGGCATCCAACCGAATCATCCCCAACAAAACCAAAACCAAAACCCCCCAAAAAAGCGA